TGTTTGAACTCTAATTCTGACGGCACCCATTCACTGCAGAGGATCCATTGGTGAGCAAGTGATGTAATGCAAGTGATGTAATGCTAAAATTCTCCAAATCTGTTCTGATGAAGAAACAAACTCATCTTGGCCTGAGTGTGAGTATATTTTCAGCAAATCTTCATTTTTGAGTGAATTATTTCATTAATACTGATTAACAACGAACAAATGTTTACCTAAGATTTGACAAGATTTGCTTTTTGCTTCAAAATTGTGCTTGTGCTTTATCTCTCTAAAATAAATGGCACTTGTTTGATATTTTGTTATACAAGACGCAATACATTCCTACAGTTTTAAGTATTCAGATACTTGGGCCACTATGTGCTGACATTCATTTCTCATTAAAAAGACCAGACCAGTTTCTTTAGTCTCACATCAAACGCAAACTGAAATGCAATTTTCCACAGAGTTCAAGAGGTTCAGGCTCAGGACCGAGAAACCGACTTGCAGACTTTGCCGACTAGCAGAGTAATTGAAATGTAGAGCTCCTCCTCTCCTCTTCTTACCTCTTCACTCTTCACTTTATACGACTGCTGTATCTCTTTGAATGAAGAGCTCTGAACTCTGCGTGTGTGGAGGAGTGTAATAGACTGACCTTTCAGTAATTTTGCCATCTCGTATAAATTCACTTCAGGCCTGTTTTCTGACATTCTCTATTCATTCAACCAATTAGCACTTCATGCATCTGCCTACTCTCCCTCAGCTTTTGTGGAAGTCTCAGATTGAAAGCTTCTCTGAGGAAAATAAGTAATTAACTGAAATTTCTTTCAATATCCTGATGCCCTCTAGCTGAAGAGGAATCTCTAACATCAGGCCGCAATGTTAAGTTTGATTGAAGTATGAATACAAATCTTACTGATATTGTGATGAGTGGCTTTTCAACAAGTTATAAAATTGGAATAATTATTCACTCTATATCATCTTCATATAGCACTACATTCATTATACCAGTCAAACATTTGAAAGCATTTTACTGTATTTTGTGTGGTGTTAATAATCTTTTGATCTAAAGACTAGAAACAAATTTTAAGCTTTTAAGCTCAAGCTTAAATTTATATAGATAAATTGTGCCATATGAATTTCATTATAAATCTAAAACCTTTTTGAAAAGAATGAGTTGAACTGGATAATGAAGTCAACGGGAGCTTCAGGTTACAGCTTACATGTAAATTCCTTCAGTACTGTTTAAAAAGCAATTGTTGGTGAAAAACATACCTGAACTTGTTTGTCACAAGTTTAGACAGAACCCAACTATCCTGAAACGATCCCAGAAAGACTAATTGTGATTAACCAAAGTATAGCCATTATTTTTGGATGCTGAAATTTGAAGTTGTGGGCAAATTAAATATTACAGTGTGTAACTGAATATTCAAATATTACATTATATAATAATAATAAAATGTATTATAGTAAAATAACATCTTTATATACTACCGTTTAATTTAATATTACATTGTCAAATTACACTGGAGAAATATGATTTGAAAAAATAGTAAATAGTAAGTACAAAACAAGGACTCTGAAAGACATCTCTAACGGAATCATATTGGATGTCCTGTAGTTTAACGGATAGAACATTGTGCCAAGATCATGGGTTTGTTTTCCAGTGAACACATATTCGTGATATATACCTACACTATTGTAAAAAAAAAATTTTTTGAGCAAGGATGCATTATAATGTTACAAAAAAAATTCTATTTAAGTTTTTATGTATACTGTCGTTTTTACTTTTCTATTCATCAAAGAATCCTGAAAGTTTATACACAAAATATCAAGCAGCACAACTGATTTAAACATTTATAGTAATACAAATACATTTTAGTCTCTTGAGGTGCAAATTAGCATATTAGAATGATTTCTGAGGGATCATATGACACTGAAATGTGTTCATTCAGCCTTGCATCACAGGAATAAATTACAATTCAAATATATTGAAATAGAAAACAGTTATTTTAAATTGTAAGAATAATTCACAATATTATTTTTACCGTAGTTTTGATCAAATAAATGCAGCATTGATGAGCATAAGATACTTTAACAATTTTGAATGGTATGTTGAATGCGTGGCATGTCAAAGAAGGAAGATTGTAACAATAATCATGCTTTTATAGTGAATCCACACTCATGCTCACAAATGCAGTGTTTGCAAGACACTGTTTAAGGGAAAAAGTGATGGTAAACATCTTCACTAAAGCACTAAATCAGCTCATGATTTTAAAAGCCAGTTTGTAGCTTTTATGTGCATTAATGTTTCCCAGATAGACTTGGTGGCGGTGGGCAATCCCACAACATGAGTGAATGAATCTGTCACACTGCTTGTGCAGCAGCAGATGCGAAGGCCTGGTGCTCCCTCTGCTGCACAATGCATGTAACAAACATAAAAAAAAGAATGTATGCATGACTTGGATGTCAAATGCAATATGACAGAGTTTAATGTGATATTCTAAACATGAACAGGCCTTTTTATATAACCCTCAGACATACAGATCCAGAGTTCCAGTGTGACACATAAACAACTGCAACTTACTTCGGCTGTCTGATGCTTTTATATATTAGAAGGGCTTTCCTCTGTGAATCCTTATCGCTTGGCAACAGAGGCTGTTAGGCTTGAGTGTGATTGGAGGAGAGGAACTCAGGGTAAAGCGTGACATTCGATGTTTCCCAGATAGACTTGGTAGCGGTGGGCAATCCCACAACATGAGTGAATGAATCTGTCACACTGCTTGTGCAGCAGCAGATGCGAAGGCCTGGCGCTCCCTCTGCTGCACAATGCATGTAACAAACATAAAAAAAAAAGAATGTATGCATGACTTGGATGTCAAATGCAATATGACAGAGTTTAATGTGATATTCTAAACATGAACAGGCCTTTTTATATAACCCTCAGACATACAGATCCAGAGTTCCAGTGTGACACATAAACAACTGCAACTTACTTCGGCTGTCTGATGCTTTTATATATTAGAATGGCTTTCCTCTGTGAATCCTTATCGCTTGGCAACAGAGGCTGTTAGGCTTGAGTGTGATTGGAGGAGAGGAACTCAGGGTAAAGCGTGACATTCAAGAAGCAGTGAATGGGTCCGTCCGTTCCCCCCACCTTACATCAGTCAGAACGGATTGGGAGAATGGCGGACCAGAAAATGGAAAATAAGTCTTCAAATAAACTCTACAGGGTATCCTCTATAGCTCATGTGTCCCCAAAAACACCCCAGGGCACCAAAATGTAGGTAAAAGGCAGAAATTATGGTTGAGGTGGTAAAAATAATCCATCCTGACACTTGCAAGCTCCCACAGAGATTTGAAGCTCTCCGCTTATAAAATATTGAACGGCCACTAACACAATTCTGTCTCCCAGAGCTGTCTGCAATTCATCTCAGAGAGAAAAAAAGCTCAATAGGAGGTGCAAAGACTGCAGGGAATGATAAAATATCTACTCGTTCTCACCAGCAGAGGTCAATGTTTTCAAAGCATTCACATGTGATGGCTCTGCAGCAGCTGGGTTTGAATGGAGATATGAATGTGTTATTATTTGCATAAACCAATCAACCACTTTTTGTATTATTTAACCCCAGTTGACTTTTACAGTGTTTTGTTTTTGGAATGATGAATTTGGCATATATTTCTATGAGATGACACCATAAAACTGATGTTTAAGTTATTCTAGTTGGAAAAAATATTTGAATAAATACTTTACAAATAAAGTGTGAGTGTGTAAGTACATGAGGTTTTTTCATCGAGTATGTATTTAAAAAGGTATTTTCACTTCAGATTATCATTATATCAGATTATCATTATAATACAAAACATATAGCAAAGAACATATACTGTAGTAGCACAGAAAAAAATGCCATTTTCTCAAGGATTGTAACCTGTACATCGGCAACTTGTACTGTGGGTGAAAAAAACGTACTTGAGCTTCAGAAGTTCATCTAGAAACTATCTCTAAGAAAGACCTTATTGTGAATATATTTATACATCCAGGAGAGACACTTTTATTTGCATTCTCTGTAGTATATCCAGATATGAGCACATATTGCAAATATGTTAAACGATAAACGTTAAAATGAAGATTATTTTTGTGAGTGCGGATCACGGTCTCATGTGCTAAGTAATTTAATAGATTGACACACCAAAACATAATATTAGTGATGGAAGAGCGCAGTGCAAACGACTTTGTGGAAATGATACATTTGTGAAATTATTTAGAATTTTTAAAAAAGTATAAATATATTTATATTCAACACACAACTACATATTAAAATATTATATATTTTAATATGCAGTATATTTATATATAAATTATACAATTATATATATATATATATATATATATATATATATAAATTAAATTATATTGCAAACATGTTCAATGAAAAAAAGTTGTGAAAATATAATTAAATATCATATTTATCATATATCATAAATCATATTAAACATTATTAATATTAATAATATAACATTATTATCATTTGAAAACACCTAGAGTTTATTAAATTAACTAAATTAACTGCAATTACAATACACAAGAACGCTACATGAGAACAGCAGCTACATTTGTGGAACAATAAAATATAACAAAATATTATAAATATGAAATATTTCAATATGTAACAATGTTAAAATATTATAGAATATAAACCATATTACATTAAATATGATTAATAATACTAATATTATATTAAACACGTGTGTCTGTATATCCTGCCATGAAATTTAACATTATCATCTGAAAACAATTATTGCATTGAAGAAAATTACAACTACATACAACAGCAATTACATCTGCAATGTATTTGTGTCAGTATAGGTTATTCTTATGTTTAAGAATAAAGTGTGTAAGCTCTCGTTTTTGTTGCTTAAGTGAGTTTTTCAGTCTGGTGAGAGAGAGGCTCCTGAAGAGGTCAGTGCTAGCTGCCTGGCTCGCGGTGTCAATCAAACAATGGCGTCATATATCCCTAGCGCTTCCGGTGCTGGTGGGCGGGGCTCCGCTGTCCCGGTCTGGATTCTTCACTCGGGAGCGCGAGACGAGCTGAACGCGAATGCAGCCATATTCGGCTTCACCGCGAAGCACACCGGCAGCGCAGGCATACACGCAAGAATTCGCCTACTTAGAAAAAGCACCCAGTCCCGGTTTTCGGAGGGCGTATTCATGTAGGTTAAAGGCGTGTGTAGTTCTTCATTTGGGAGTTTATAATTGAAGGTTTCCAGTTGAGCGGAATGAGCGTCCAGTCATCCTGAGATTCGACGGGAGAAAAAGACCGACACATCTCGCAAAGTGGAAAGTACAGATTTGTCCGGATTAAGGCAAATGGAGCCGCCAGGGCCTCAGGAGTGAGGAGGGGGTGGAGACGCTGGAAAGCAGCGGACAACAACGGGGTTAGGCGCATTAGGGCTTCATTTATCTGAGCACAATGTTGGGCACATTTTGCTAGCTGGATGGCTGGCTAGCAGTTGGAGACTGGGACTTCCGAGCTCCACACATATCAGCCAGATAAATACTATTTGTATATATTTATAACGCTAATCCCCGTTATATTAATTTCGACAAGAGTTGTTTTATCCTTGCTGGCTCTGGGAGTGGTATCCAGGCCGCTAAATTGGTAGAAAATGTCTGCGAAGGTGCGCCTGAAGAAGTTGGAGCAGTTGCTGCTGGATGGCCATCAGAAAAACGACAAGTCATTGAGTGTGGAGACTCTGCTGGATATCCTCATATGTTTATACAACGAGTGCAGCAATTCGCCCTTAAAACGGGAAAAACACGTGACAGACTTTTTGGAATGGGGTAAGTTGATGTATTTGAGTGTAACGTTACTGACTGCATTAGGGACTATAAATCAGTGCGTGTCCCTTTAAGACCTGTTTATCTGTTATTACATTTGCCTTAATCACCTAACGTTAGCTGACTTCAGGCTATTGTCAAAATTGCTGCCGTGACATTTGCTCTTGGGTTTCCTGGCATCGTTGTTTGGACAGTACTTATTGTCATGAAACGTTAGTTGTTCCAGCTTTAATATTTATTTATACACGTTTCTGGATAGTATAGGGGAAATGGTGCGAAGTAGATGCTGCTGTTGAAGTTGCTGCTATTCAGCTCTAACTTTTTAGACGGATAAAGATAGATATATAATCAGAAACTTACGTGTGTTGTATCATATTTAATTTATGCATATTTAATACTTTCATGGCCCACATAGTATGATATAGTGAGAGCATGGAGGTCATCCTTAAAGTGGAAAAAAGGTGCATACGTTTTATTCAATTTAAGGCCCAAACCGAGCATAAATATGCAGATTTCTGCCGATATTATTTTTTTTTGTAGCCAAAAAGTAAGATGAAATTCTGATAGCTTGTAATGTAGGCTACTTGTAGTGACTGCTCACATAAAATGAATATAAATATCAGTTGTTACGCCATATCTTCAAAAAATATGTATTAATAAGATATGTAAATGTGCAGTTTCATTATTAAAAGTCTGAGGCATAATTTTGAGGCAAAACATATAACGCAATGCAATATAATGTTGATTGAGAGATGTACAAATTAATGTTCCTCAAATGCCTGATGTATCATATTTGATGCATACATTTTACCATGACTTTTCTGGGAAAAAAAATATGACGTATGGATAATCAAGTAAACCTAAATTGCTTCAGTCCAGTAAATGTTCATCTTAAAATGTATTTGTGTCAGTATAGGTTATTCTTATGTTTACTTCATAAAAATTCTTAAAGTATTCACAGCAGAAATACGTGAAGCACGACATGTTTTTACAATTATATGTTTATTACAATTATACTAAAAGGCCTTTTACCTTTACTAACTATTAATCAGACAATGAAAGACATGTAGTAGATTGTGTACAACAAGTTTTGGTCATGTTAATAACTATACCCTTGGTATAGGGATGCACTGATACCATTTTTTTCACATCCGATCCGATACCAAAAATTCTGAGTATCGGCCGATCCGATACAGCACTGTTTTTTTTTTTAATCAATGTAACATTTCTATACCTCAGTGTGGTTACCTGATCATCACTGTTTTGTGTGTTAAACGTATAATAACAAATGAAAAAAAACATAATCATAATCTATGACAAAAAAAATACTATTATAAACTAGGTTAGTGGATAATTCAGCAGCAAAAGTTATTCTAGAAAAATCATGAGTGCACAATTATTTTATAAAATCTAAACATTTAGTGAAATAACATTATTTAGTGGGGAACAAATAAAAGTGAATAAGTGTAGGACTAAATCTGGTAAAATGTTACATTGCTCTTTGTATTGTTGTAAAATACATTCATGAAAAACAAGTAAATATTTATATATAAATATATACTATAAAATTAAAAGACATTTCTTTTAAATGTATAGCACTGTAATGGAGGCAGCAACATATGATAGATAGGACAGAAAAAGAAAGGCTATTAATAATCTTTCATTGTGCAAAAGTATTATAATATGAAAGGCTCCAATACAGAGTGGCACAAAGCATTTATGCGCATCAAAGAGAAGAGATATTGATGCGTAGTATATTATATCTGTGCATTAGTTTATTGAGCCTTTTCTTTTAACAGATTAAAAATTTCAGTTACTGTGCGCTTTTGAAGAGAGTTTCATCGTTTTGACTCGTTACTGAACGCGTCACGCAGTTTGTATGCTGAATGAAGTATGACAGACAGCCGCAGCGGCGAGAAGAGTTTACGTGAACTTGAATTTAACGACTTAAATACTCATCTGTACCTCACATTAAACTATGGAACGGCTTCAGAACGCTTGGAATATAGTGCCGAAAACTTTATGGTGCTTTATAATGTTTTTGTGCCTTTCGTGGGGCTTAACAATAACACAGAATAGTATAGGCAGAATATCAGATTTGGATCGATCTCGTCCGACCGATACCCGATCCAGACAGAAAATGCCAGTATCGGAGCCGATACCGATACTGAGTATCGGATCGGTGCATCCCTAGTTGATAATATAGAGACCTTAGAAATTCATCAAGTATGACCCAGTTGGCTTTATAGGGTTAATCAGATATTGCTGATAAATGTCAAACAAGTTGGACTTTGTTTTCAAGGGCAGTGTAAATGTTTCCCTTTATAAAGTCTGGGGACGTTGATTCCTGTTGATGTTCTTGCATTTATGCTACATTAGCTGTTGCTATTGCCATTACCATTTGCATGAGGGTGATGCTCATTAATCAGTCAGACAGGATTTTCTTTCAGTCATTGTGATCTTTAAGAGTCTGTTGCTTTCTAGTAGAGTTCAGTTTAAAATGTAAACAGTTCTCAGTAGGTGGGATGCCCCTTTTTGGGCTCTTCCTGGTCCTGTTGATTAAGGTTGGCCTTCACAGTGACTGGATTCTCAGTTCTGGGTGTTGGGGTGACGTCAGTAATGAGATTACACCCCAGCGTGCCTACTCCTCTAAAGACCGCCACTGTCCTCGTGCAACCCGTCACTAGCAGGTGCCACCTCACATCCCATCACTGTGAGTGAGCCATAGTATGACCCAATTTCCAGGAGTCATAAACTCCTCTGTTCTTGTCTTACTACAACACTGGTAGGCCACTGGCTTTCTTATGGTGCCCTTGATTGTGGAGGTTAATGATTTACGTGGCGTATGTTATGCTGGCATCAGTTAAACACGAGCAGTGCACTAACGTCATTGTAAAGTGCAGTATTGGCAGAGTGGTAGCTCTCAATACGTGATTTCCATTTAATAAAGTGCTGCTCAAGTGAAAATCTTGGCATAGCCACTTTTAAATGTGGAATTGCTGTAAAAGTGACAGTTTACCTTTTCTGGTAAATGTACCATATCTGCTATTCGCACATGGTTTTCTGTCTTTTAACTTCTATCGGCTTTGTATTTCTACTGCTGACATGTCAACTCCAAAATAGTGTTAACTCTCTAATGTTGTTTGCTGGAAGTGAATGATAAACCGCTTTGGTGGAAATATACTAAGATAAGAGAAGCTTTAACTGTAGTCTGTTGACTAAGTTCTTCATCCACTGATAGAGAGAAGCTTCGTTTCAGCATCTGTCCAATTTGATGGCATTTAGACAATCACATTTTTTGACTTCCGCCACAATCGTAGTGTAATTGCATCAGCTCCTTCAAAACTTTCTGATTTACTGAAACACTCTGACTTCAGGCTAGTGGTCGACCGATATTGTTTTTTTGACAGCCGATGCTGATATCTTGGAAATCAGGATGGCCGATATAATTGTATTTATTTTATTTAATATTTAAGAAATATTAAATCATTTGAAAATAGATTAAAAAAATATAAATGTGTAAAATAAACATGCTTATACTTTAAATGACAAAGTATTTTTCACAAATAAATAAACATTTAATAAAAATGTAATTAAAAAAGAAGTAAATACTGTAACCAACAGGGCACTCAGTATTCTGGGAAGTTTGTGTGCATTGGGAATCACATTTTTTCAAAAAAAGCCAAGGTAACACTCATTTTACATACAGCACAAGTCAAGTCACCTTTATTTATATAGCGCTTTTAACAAAACAGATTGTGTCAAAGCAACTGTACAGCATTAATTAGGACACAGTGAAAATTACATGAATATGACATTGGGCAAAAGCATGAAGCGCAGCATAATTTGAAATCACGATTTTAAAGTTTGTCGATCGTGCGTCTCAATGAAGCTGAACTCTCCTCCTGTCCGTATTCTGTACTGTGCACTGTGTGTTCGGGTGCTGCCGTTCTCAGTGCCGTCAAAATAAAAGTCCCGCCACGAACGCATCGGCCAAACAGAAAAACTTATTGGCCGATATTTGAAAAATGCCAAATCTCGGCCGATATCTCGGTGGACCACTACTTCAGACTGCTTGTTTAAGAGTGTCCTCACCTTATATGTGCTTGAATGCATAATTTTATGGCTGCGTACAGAATTTGTAGCTTGAATACTTTCTTTTGGTGTTATTAGTGATAAGACAATATTTGGCCATTTTGAATATTGGCCATTAAAGACACCATGAAGTCAGAATATTGCAGTGTTTATTATAAATGACTAGGGATGCACCGATATGAAAATTTTGGCCGATACCGATAACCGATTATTCTTTATTTTTGAAAGCCGATAACCGATATGTTGGCCGATAAATCTATGTCCAAATTGTTATATATTTTTTGAGAGCCTGATTACAAAAAAGGTCTCATCATTAAAAGCCACATCCCAAACACTAAGCAGCCTAGTTTGAACGGTGTACGTTTTAAAAATAATTTTACTCTCCCATTACCAAATTTAGTCATAAAAAAGTCTTACAAATATATAAAATAATGCATAAATAATGCAAACAAGTCACTGGACATCATTACACGTGTAAAGAATCAAAATGAATGCGCCATAGATCAATAAAACGGAATAGCCTCTGCACGGACAATAATTAAATGATTTTAATTACTAAACCATATTGTTGATGAAAATAATAAGAGAAAAATACAAGTGGTTGTTGTTATTAATAATGTATCAATGATTTTGAAAAAGTAACAAATTAATACCACTGTTTTAAATAGCAGCCGTTGAGCTGCACGTGCTGAAGCTGAAGAGCTGAATGAACATGGTAAACTGAAGCGTTTTGCTGGCAGCTTATTTAACTCAAGGAAATGCATCCTGGGATTAATATTAATACAACATAAACATAATATTACAACTTATATATGTACAAAATGATGCAGTTATTGCGTGCTATAGTCAGAATGTGTGATCCTGTTGTGGATGCGCTCTTCCCATAACAACGCGCTGAAACACGGCAA